GTGTTGGGAGTGGTAAGTTTTATAATCTTCGAATGATAAGGAATCTAAAGTTACAAATAGAAGAATATAATAAAAATTATACATTTGCAATTATTTTTTAAAAAAATTAGCATAACCTCATCATTTTTATTTGAAACAGAAGATGCTAAAAAAAAAGAGAGCAAATTAAAAAGGGTTAAACATGCAACATTTTGTATTTTAATAAATATATAGGGCAATAATGCAACCAGTTTAAAAGTGTCATATTTATTAATTAATTTTTCCACCTATTGCACATATTTCTTCATACAAAACATATAAAATATAAAACACAGCCCTACCAGCTATACTTCTACCAGACACTAAAGACAAATATATACTTGAATAAATATAAAATATTAATCGATAAAATAATGTTAACATATAAATATATACATATCTAAATAATTGTTTTACCCATCCCCCTCATTTCATCCATAAAGTTGTCTAAAGTAAGAAAAAAAAAACTAAAGCTAAAAAACAAATCTATAAACTAAACCGAAACTATAAACTAAAGTAAACTTTAAATCTTCTAAATATTAATGCTTTATTTATTAAACTAAACTAATCATAATTTATACTTAGTTTTTGTTCCAACTCCTCTAAAAGAAAGTATAAAATAAAGCTAAATAACTTGATTTCATAAACTTGATATCATAAAGTTCACGATTAACTATCGGATCTGGAATTTCTGCACATATCAAATTATCGATATCCTGTGATGTTTCAAGTTTATCATCATTTGCTAAATGAAGTAAAATGTGGGCATGCGGCAAACCACGCTTTTGAAACTCAATAACCTGAACATGCGTTACAACTTTGTCTAATACACCATGTTTGAATATATTATTGAGGAGGTTATTTAACTTGAGTTTAAATACTCGAGTAACCAAATCAGGTCTATCATTCGCATTCTGACCCGGATATAAAGTTTCTGTTATTTCACGCCATTTTGGGTTGCAAGTAAAAGTAATAAAAAGATCTGGTTTACCATACTTTTTAATAATTGCCATAGCATCTTCAAAGATTTCTTTAAAGCTCTAGAGCTTCTTACATAATATGATGGCAAAACTACTACTCGTCCTGGTCTAAAATTACGATCATTGGCAATGTTGTTAATATGTTCATGTAAGGCATCATACTGCTTGCTTCTCAGCTTATTTTGATTATTTCTGATAAAAGCAAGACGTTAGGCCTTCAATTTTTACATATGCATTTACAGCATATTGCTGAAATAGTTTCTTGCCATAATATAATGAACAGAAAAATTGTAGAACTGAGTTAACATGATTTCTAACCAGTATTTGCACGCTCAGGGTTATGCACCAATTGATTATGCCAACCAGCATCACCTATTGGGAAAAATAGCGGATAAACCATAGGATCAAAGTTGGCTGACATACTTAATATAATTTTTAAAGGATAACCTCTTGGGTAAATAACAACTTCCCTTGAAGTTGGGGGAGCACCACCTTCACCAACAAATACAACTGCAACTTCATCATGTGAAGGTAGGTTATAACGACGTCTATCACCGCCTTCAAGTAAAAACATTTTTACAACAGAAACTGAGCGACCTTCTATAGCCGTCTTACGAATTTCTTCATCTTCTACTTCAGCCATGTTTTTAAATGCAAGAGCAAATGGACTTGGTTCCATAATTATAGTTTGCAATTGAAACATTAAAACACGTAAACAAAGATCATTACCGCAGTGTTGCATTCTAAAATTTGGTGCAGCAAGTGGATCATAAATATAAAGTTGAGAATATATTGGTGGAATATCTTGATCTGGCCTAAGATTACCTACAAGATGAAAAATCTGGCCACATATTTTAAAACATGGAAGCCCATGATTCATTGGTTGAACTACATTTGCTGTAAAAGAAGCAAAAGAAAAGCAGGCATTATAATTTCGAATATGTTTTAAAAAATTAGCATTAGCATTACGATCTACATAACTCCCTGTAAACAAATCCTGTAAAGCTTGTGTAATTGGTGAAAGTGGAGGCAAAGCTACTTTACCATTATGGCAAAATAGAAAATGTGTTTCATCTGGAAATTTCTTAGCACCACAGTGCTGACAAATTTGATATATTTTCCTAAATAATTATAATCTGGAATAGCATTACTTCTCACTATAGAATACATTCGTTCTTGTCCAACAGCTCTTCTTTCATTTTGGCGACGAATAACATTATCTCGATCGAGCCTATTTCTTTCATTTTGGCGACGATTAACATTATTTCAATCGACCCTATTTATTTCATTTTGGCGACGATTAACATTATCTCGATCGAGCCTATTTCTTTCATTTTGGCGACGATTAACATTATCTCAATCGACCCTATTTATTTCATTTTGGCGACGATTAACATTATCTCGATCGAGCCTATTTCTTTCATTTTGGCAACAATTAACATTATCTCGATCGAGCCTATTTCTTTCGTTTTGCCGAATATTAGCGTTTTCTCGATTAAGATTATTTCTTTCATTTTGTAAATGAATAATTTTATCTCGCCTAAGTCTATTTCTTTCATTTCGTCTACGACTATTTTTAACACGCCTTATAGCACTTACATCATTTTGTAAATACATAACTTCATTTAGCCTATTCTTTATTTCAATGTCATCATTTTGATTAAACATATTTATCAAAGCAACACTAGTTATTTCTTTTTTTTTACTACTCTAAAGTTAACAATAAAATAAAAAAACTTCATAAATAACTAAAAAAATCTTACTCAAAAAATTAAAAAAAAAATTCTCAAAACAATATATAAAGAATCCAAACTAATGCAAAATAAAATTAATTTGCCATCATCAAAAGTAATACAGGTTTCTTAAGTTTATTTGATAGAAGTTAAGAAAAACCTGCAACCATATTAGCAAAAACTTAATACAAAAAGTTAAAATTTATTCTGTTTCTAATAAAGAAAAAAAAATTTTGAAACAAACAACAAATCTTCGCAGACTGCGTCATAAGGCATGCGTTGGGAGAAAACATCGAACAAAACGGGTAATAAAACTTATTAACGCGTTATGTACAATATAAAACGGGTTATTAATATAACTATGTATATCCGCAACTCCAAGGATATACATAGTTGATTATGATTAATAACAACTCTGTAAATGTAAATTTTCTAATGATCTAAATCTTTATAAATTAGATATTTTATTCTATATCTTAATTTTAAATTAAATAAATTATATTTATCTTAACTATAAATTAAATCTTTATAAATTAGATATATAAATAGAAAAAAAAACATATAATAATACAATTATATCCGAAACCAAAATTCAATCATGCAAGGCAAATTATTAAAGTTTTTGAAAAGAAAAAAAACATCTTTTTTTTCAAAGAGCCAAAGTATTAACAATACTATAGATAAATTTTATTTATAACAAAATGTTGTCATGGCTTTTATCCCAATAACTAAAAGCATTTGAAAGCATGAAACTACCCATAAATATCTTTTAATGGCAGACACCATCTAAGAATTATAGTAATCTATATTTTCGATATTTACATGTATAACACGAAGCTTTAAATTTAAAAGTACAATTTAAAAAAGATTACAATAAACTAATTACTTATAAATTTTAAAAAGATTTTATAAATACTCAATGTCTACTTAGACATTTTGAAAAGATTACAATTTTGAAAACTTGAAACTTTAAATTTAAATTTTAAAAAACTGAATCTTTAATTCTAACTCAAAGAAAACAGATAAACATTGAAAAGTATTTATATTTCTTTTTAAAAATTTAAAAATGCTTTTAAACTTACTCCCCCCAATATAATTATATAATATATATAGTATATATGATAAATAAACCTCCACAATTTCCTTGGTTTAACAACTCGATTATGATTAACAAAAAACTCTGTAAACATGAGTTTTCTAATAACCTTAATAAATTACAGATAGACAAACATAAATAACACAATTAAATCCAAAACCAAAATTCATTCATGCAAGACAAATTATTTTATATTTATTGAAGGGCCAGAAACATATTTTTTTTCAAAGAGCAAAAGTATTAACAATATTAAAGATAAATTTTATTTATAACAAAATGTTGTCATGGCTTTTATCCCAATAACCAAAACTATGTGAAAGCATGAAACTACCCATAAATATATTTTAACGCTAGACACAATTTAAGAATTAAAGTAATCTATAACACGAAGCTTTAAATTTAAAATTACAATTTAAAAAAGATTACAATAAATTAATTACCTTTAAATTTAAAAAAGATTTTAGATTACCTATAATTTTAAGCTACTAAACATTATCTACTTAATGTCAACTAGGACATATTGAACTCGTACCATGAAAGGTTGAAAGGAAATTTTTATGAAAGCACGCAGTAAAGAAAAGTCTAGAAACTAGTTAAAAAGTGTATTTTACAGATACAGAACCGTACCGTAACTATAAAACAATACGAGTAACTATGCGCACTAATAATAATAATATTCATTCGGCAATTAGTAAATAAGATTATCTCAGTTCAACAATTATAGACTTTCTGTTAGGCAGTTTTTCTGTTCATTATTTTATGGCAAGAAACTATTTCAGCAATATGCTGTAAATTCATATATAAAAATTGAAGGCCAACGTCTTGCTTTTATCAGAAATAATCAAAATAAGCTGAGAGGCGAGCAGTATGATGCCTTACATGAACATATTAACAACTTTGCCAATGATCGTAATTTTAGACCAGGACGAGTAGTAGTTTTGCCATCATCTTATATAGGAAGTTCTAGAGCTTTAAAAGAAAACTTTGAATATGCTATAGCAATTATTAAAAAGTATGGTAAACCAGATCTTTTTATTACTTTTACTTGCAACCCAAAATGGCGTGAAATAACAGAAACTTTATATCCGGGTCAGAATGCGAATGATAGACCTGATTTGGTTACTCGAGTATTTAAATTCAAGTTAAACAACTTCATCAATGATATATTCAAACATGGTGTATAAGGCAAAGTTGTTGTTGGCCTGGTTTAAATTGATTTCTGAAAATGAAGGAGCCCATCGCTACTCATATGTTGACATTCCATATCACTTTGTATTTGATGATAAACGTTGTAAATGGAAGGTTAGAAAAAGAGGTGGAAATCAGATGATAGTAAGAATGTATAAAGTTTGCCAACAGGAGAATTATTTTTTCTTAGATTGTTACTTTTGCAGGCAAAAGGAGCAACATCTTGGAAGGATTTGCGTACTGTTAATGGAACAGTCCTTGAAACCTTTCGTGAAGCGTGTGTTTTTAAAGGTTTGCTGCAAGATGACACTAAATGGCAGAATACTCTTTCTGAGGCAGGTTTAACGCAAATTAGGCAGCTGTTTTCAATTATTTTAACCTTTTGTGAACCTGATGACCCTTTGCATCTTTGGAATACATACAAAGCTTTTATGATGGAGGATTTCATTCATCACCAAGTTCCATTTATATTAGCTGAACAAGCTACTCTTCGTCAAATCGAAAAGATTATTAATCAAAGTGGTAAAACGCTATCTGATTATAATTTGCCTGTTGTTAATGAATTCATAGATTTTAATTTTGAAAATTTAAATGATAATGTTCAGCAATCAATTGACGAAGCTAATAGAATAAGACCGCTTCTTAATGTTAATCAATTAAATGTAAGTAATGCTGTCCCTGCTGCATTGAACAAGCAACCAAGTGTAGAAAATCAACATTCCAATTTGTTTTTTATGGATGGACCAGCCGGTAGTGGCAAAACTTCTTCATATAATTATTTGATTGCTGCATGGATTGGCATAGCAGCAACTCTTCTTACAAATGAATCTACGCTGCACGGCTTATTAAAACTTCCTGTCCCAATACTGGATAACAGCACATGTAATGTGACTTCTAACTCTATCCAGGGACAATTTTTAAGGCAAGTTAGTTTGTTTATGCTTGACGAGACATCCATGATTTCCAAAACACGCTTTAAATGCAATCGATCGGTTGTTAAAAGACGTTTGCAACAACAACTTTCCATTTGGAGGAAAAGTCATTCTTTTTGGTGGTGACTTTAGGCAAATTTTGCCTGCTGTGAATAGAGGACGACCAGCTGAAGTTGTAGAATTATGTATAAAATGCTCTTTACAGTGGCAATCGGTGCAGAAGTTTACATTAACTGAAAATATAAGAGTACGTGATGGAGAATGAGAATTTTCCGAATGGCTGTTAAAACTTGGTAGTGGAACAATACCTGTCAAGGACGAAGATCCTTTTAAGGGATGTATTGAAATACGGCAACAGTGCATTATTAGAGAAAATGAATCAATTTTTGAAAAAATATTTGGAGATGCTTAACAAGATTATAATATTAAACGTGTCATTTTAACACCTACTAATGTGGGTTCATTGTCAATCAATGAAGAAGTGCTTGAATGTCTACATGGAGAGGTCAAAACTTATTTAAGTGCTTATCAAATAGACACTGACAATCCTAATGAAATAAATAATTTCTCTGTTGAGTTTTTTCACAGCTTAACTCCTTCAGGTATGCCTACTCATTGTTTAAAATTGAAAATTGGTTTTGTAATTATGCTACTTAGAAATTTAGATCTTAAAGGTGGGCTATGTAATGGAACCCGAATGAAAGTTTGTGGTCTCCAAAACAACTATATTGACGCAGAAGTTTTGACAGGTGTTTCTGAAGGTAAACGGGTATTTGTTCCTCGAATTCAGTTGGCTCCATCAAATTCTAATTTACCTTTTGTTCTAAAACGTCGTCAGTTTCCTGTCAGATTGGCTTATTCGATGACAATCAATAAAAGTCAAGGTCAAACATTTGATAGAGTTGGGGTATATCTAAAAAAACCGTGTTTCTCCCATGGTCAACAATACGTTGCATGTACAAGAACTAGAGCATTTAATAGTTTGTTTTTCAAAATTGATAAACATCCTATTCAAGGTATGGTAGGCGAAAAATACTACACAATTAATGTTATATTTTCTAATGTTCTTAGTTTATAGTCTTAATACTTTCATTTCTAAAATTTACTGTTTGTAGGTTGTGAGCCCATTTTGTATGTATAACTTTAATATTTATATTTTTTTCATTGTTTTTGATAAATATATTTGTCATTTAATATTGTTATATATTGTGTTTGTATGTGTTATATAAAGTCATATTTGTTTATAGTTGTATATATGTTTACATTATGTTGTTTCCATCTTTTCAAAGTGGTGTGACTTGGCAATATGTTAATCAAGATTGTTAACCTTGCCAACCAAGCGGTGTACGTATAGCAGAGGTGTGACTTGGCAGCATTTAGTGCCAGGCGGTGTTACTGCTTCAGAGCTAGGTTGTGTTGTCTAGCTTTTTTTAATTATTCTGGAAACACATAATGTCTATTAATGTTTTCTGTAATGTGTATAAGAGAGCATGCAGCCTTGATCCTTAAGTCCAAGGCGCTTTAATGTCCTATATTTGAAATAATTGAATAACTAATATTGAATATAAAAACAGATATGCTATATTAAAGTTTAGTAAAAGGATAAATAAAGATAACTCAAAATTGGTTTTTTAGTTTTGCCTTTCATATTCTTTTATAAGTTATTAGTTATAAGGGTGTAAATATGTGTTATTGTTATAATGTATAATATTGTTATATTGTTGTGATGTTTTGTGTTGATAGGCAGCTTGGCTTACCTTCCCGTTGGTGTCTATCGTTAAACATGAATAACAGATAGTTTCATTATTGGAACTTGCTGCTTTTATTCATTTACTAAAAGCCAAGACAAAATCTTGCTAAAAATTATCTTTATTTCATTTTTTTTTTTGAGTATTGTTAATCCTTTTGTACTTGGAAACAGATTTTATAGCTACCTTTTCTATAAATGTTTATATTAACTGCAAAATGAAAAGGTTACAAAAACAGGTAAATCGATTTTCAGTGTTTATATATGGTATATATATATATATATATATATATATATATATATATATATATATATATATATATATATATATATATATATATATATATATATATATATATATATATATATATATATATATATATATATATATATATATATATATATATATATATATATATATATATATATATATTATATGACGTCATAATTCCATTACTTTTTTTAATTTTAGATTCTACCATATGACGTATTATTACGATATATAAAAAAAAAAAAAAACTTAATTTCCTAAATTTGTAAAATTTTGTTTGTTTGTTAGAAAGATTAAGATATGAATTTTTTTTTTTGATTTTTTTTCCTATCTTATGCTTAATAATTCGTTGTACGTATCTAAGGTAATCTTCGTAAACGGCGGGGGGTCGTAATTAAAAACAAACTTTAGAATATTTAAAAACACAGGGAGACTATTACAGTTTTGCGCATTTGTCAAATATTAAGTTAATTAGTTTAGTCTGCATTTGCAACACTTTTGAGGAAAGAAAAAATTCTTGTATATGTAAATCGTTGTTTTACGCTTTATTATTTTGGTAAAAGGTCTTCTTCAAAAACTGATTACTTTTAATAAAAAAAACTCTACTCACCTGGCTACGATTAAAACAAAAAAAGGGGAGGGGCTCTTAATTGGTTGAGATGTCAAAATATTGACAAAACCTAAATTTCGAGTAATGAAAGGAATATTTAGTAAATGGTAGCAAATTACTTTACCATTTACTAAAAATTATTGAAATAAAAAGACCATCTAAACAATATAGAAATGGTCAGAGTTGAGAAGGCCTAACAAGACCGGGTCCCGTTAGCTTTGTTTGCAAACATGTGATTATGTCACGTTAACAACCTCAAAAGTCAATATATTACATTTTTAGTAGCTAAATGTGATATATGTATAAGTATAAATATAATAGTATAGTAATACTCTTTTATGATTTTTTAGCTCATAAAATGGATTCAAGATTGATTTTGGTTTCCTGTTAAACCGCAGTAAGTAAAGAATAGAAGGCTATTCAGACAGATTATGCGACAATTTTATATTTAACTCATTTACACAAAAATGTAATTGAGACAAGTTAGCTCTTAAAAATATCTTTATGTACAGATATGTTTATTGCATATATTAGTAAATAAACTAATTAGTTGCATAATGAGTTTAAATTTTAGACATTAAAATTAATAATCATAATGTACTTAGTTAAACATGCTAATCATGATGTAATTTGCATAGCCAAAGTTAAATGCTCTTTTACTTTAGTTACTGCGTTCAGTGATGCGCAGTTTTGTTTGTGCGCAGTTTTTCTTGTGTTCGGGAATTTTGAGATAAGAATTTCCAGACATATTATAAAAAGCGCGTTTTTGTTATAAATTCCTTTTACATCTAATCTTATCTTTCAAGTAGGTCATATTCTGTATAATCAATTTAATCGTCTTCATTTTTTATATTTTAACATGTCTATTACCTTTATTAAATTTGTTTTTAAGCATATTTGTTATTATTTTTTATATCGAAATAATAGAATGACTCAGGTTGAAGATGAAGGTTTGTTCTTATTTAGATGTGTTTTATGTTACAGATGTATAATGTTTATTATTAGTTGCTGAATTACTAAGAAGTAAGTTTTGTTCCATTTTGTTATAAACAAATGTTATAAATTGCATTTATATGTTTGTTAATTTAAATTAACTTTACAATATTAAAATGGTTTAAACGAACTTTAAACTTTTGTAAATTAATTTAATCCTGAAAGATTAAATTTTTTTTTATTATTGAAGAAACTAAACTAGATTGAAGAATTAGTCGACTTAAATGTTTGTTTGTTTTTCTATTTAGATGACGACAATAATATTGAAGCAAGTAAGTTAAAAAGCATTTTTAAAATTTTAAAAAGAAATAAAAATACTTTTCAATATATATCTGTTTTCTTTGAGGTAGATTTAAAGTTTCAGTTTTTTAAAATCATATACATATTATAATATTAAATTCTTTTATACTTAAAAAATATCTATTTTATAGTTGCACTGAGTCGTAGAAAAATATTTAAAGTTTAGTAATAAGGTAGTAGAAAAATTAGAGTAGATTAAATAGTTTGATCTATTTAATCAACTTAATAACGTACTACCAAAGTGAAGATCTATTTCGGTTGTTTGTTAAAATTTAGTTTAAAATTTAAAATTCTTTAGTTAATCAAGAGAGATCTAATAAAGGTATTAATTACATTAGTTAGTTGAATGTGACATTTAATTTGTATTTAGAAATTAAACTCTATGAAATTTAATTCTAAGAACCTCATAAACTTTCTCGAATTGTCCATTCATAGAGTTTAACCGAGTCACCGATCTGTTTGCTCGAAGCTCGACATCAAGAACTATATTCAGTTCAAACTATGTTTAAGTTTTAAGGTTTATAAAACAATTTTAAGATGACAATTTAAAGAGCTGCTGTTTAGAATTTTAGAGATCTTAATGAATTTTAAAGATTATTTTTCCCGTTCAGGGAAAATTTATCTTTGAAGTTAATAAATTTTTTTACTAATAATGCTGTAATATTAGACAAAAGCCAAAACACGGTAGCTTGAAAAATTGTTTTTGAATGTTGTTTTGAATTAACATTTACAGTAACTCAGCACGGTTTTATGTAATCTGGGACATTTATGTACATTTTTTTAAAGATATTGCTGAGACAAAAGTCAGAAACTCTACATTAAACTATGTTTGTAATATTGAAAAACGTTCAAACTTTTTTCAAATTATTGTATTTTGGTATTTCATGGCAGTATATTGTCATAGTAGCAAATAAAATAGCAAAATTATTACGCTGAAAATAGTTCAAAGTTTTACCATGAAATACTTTAGTGAAAAAAATCTTCTTATTCATATCGTATTTTGTTTAAAATATTAGATCATACTCCGTTAAAAATAGTCGAAAAAATAGCGGTAGGTTTGCATTAGTTCGCATAGAGCTGAAAATTGGTACAGACGTTGCGGACATTATTAAAAATAAAGTATAAAATGTCCCCACCAATTCTGCATCAGCAAAAAAAAGCTATTCAAGGGAAAAGGATAAAAACTTTCGTCGTTTTGCTTGCGCCATTTACTATCTACAAAAAAAAGGTCTTTAATCTTGGATTAGAACAACAAAATATTGCTAAGTATTAGGGGTTTTATTTTTTGTTTAGCCCTTCTAAAATTAATTGCCAAGGGCGGATTAATGATTTTTATTGACTGTAGCAAAAACGCCATAAATATTTTTTTTGTCTTTAAAAAAAAGGTCCTCAATTTTCCCATTTCCGACAGTACAAAAAGTCCAAGTTTGCTACTGTGCAATATGATCCACATATGCCGACTCGCTAGCCTAAAATAGCTAAACTTGCTGATTTAATGAACTAAAATTCATTAATATGGGGGTTTCACCCACTGTTCGCGCCAGCCTTTGATGTACAGTAGGGTACAGTGTGTTTCTTTTCTTTTTGAAAAAAATTAAGTTTAAGCTTAGGAAAATGTATATTCTTATGTAAAATAAAACTTCAAGGTAGGTTTGCTATCGACCACTTTTTAATTAGAAAATTTCTTAATACCTAAATTTTCACATTTAAACATTATTAAAATTAAATTAAATTGGTATAACCCGCCTTTATGTATAAACTCTCACAAAAAGCCAAGAGCCGAATCAATTTTAAAATAGATTTTGACTTAGCTCTCGGCCGTTTAAAATTTTTATGAGATTGATAAGATATTGTTATTTAGTTTGTTACTTGTTATTTAATCGAGTTATATCTATTTAATTCTTCACTAGAATTTCAGAGTTTATTGGACATGGAAAGGATTTTATTCCAAGTGAGCTGTCTATTAACAGAACAGTTATTCAAAAAGGAATTTTATCAAAAAAACAAAACAATATAAACCTAAAAAAATATTTAAACAGAGATCTTGCAAGCAATCTAGTTCCACTTAATTTTGCTCAATGGAGAAAAGCAAGTGTTGAGTCTCAACAACCACTTATTATTGGTGAGAAATTTTTATAGTGTCAAATAAAAAACTCT